AACAGTTCTGTTGATTGCTTCAGTCAAGTGGTCTTTTGAAGTACTGCATATTTGTACCAAAATGCCCTTAGGTCTAATGTTTATTATATATAATAATAATTTGATATAGTGCTTTTCACATCTTCTAGATGTCTCAAAGCAATTCACAGAATGTACTGTAAAGTGAATTGACTGTATATTTGTGGGCAAAACGCAGCAGCCAATTGTGCACAGCAGTGTCCCACAAACAGTCGTGAATTGAGTGACCAAATTATTATTAATTTTTTTTTTTAAAAAATTCTTGAGGTATTATTATCACATGTGAGTAAGGAAACTTGCCCAAAGTTTCGCCCTGCCAGGAATCGAACCCAGGTCTCTCATTGTTTAGCGAGTGCTCTAAACATGAGCTACAGGAGTCCTGCAATATTGATTGTCTTTCCATGAATTACAACACCTTTCATATAACTACATCTGTTCGTTGTAGATAAGGAAAGACTCCAAGATAGTTGTAGTCTGTTGCACATTACATAACATGGCAATCAGGAGTAACATTCCTAGCACAGATTGTGTCTAAAGGGGAGGCAGCAGATAATAAAGTCCCTGACAAGGCATGTGATACCTATTCAAGAGGCAGAGATGCCTGACAGGAACTGATCAACAACATTCGCCTGTTCAGAGCTACCTCCACACCAGCACTGTGTACAGTAGGATTTGCTGGGGTGAGAACCCATTTCTTTCCAATTTTTGGGGTTGGGATAATGGTGAGTGGGTTCTGATGACAATGGGTTTTTGTTGTTTGTTGTGGGATGTTTACTTACTGTTATATGCCCAACATTTCTCACTCACCATTTCTTAGTAATGCATTTGTTCTCTGCCTCCTCTGCCCTATCTCATGGAATCAGAGGACCTTCAAGTTTTTGGTCTTTAGATGCTTTTTCTTCCAAGTGCACTCCTTTCTCTATTTCTGACTCATCCCTACAGTTCCTTTTGGCTTACTTTGTAATTGTCTTTCTTCTGCCTTTCTTGAGATATTTTTCTCTGAGTCATGATCTGCTAAAATAGGCTTATGTCTAGAAGCAGAAGCTAGCTTAGTGCCCTATAATGGTTAGGGTTCTTTTTGGAGAAGAGAATGTTGCTGAGATATCACTAAGGTCTTCTTCCCCTTTTCACAATGTCCTTTCCTTTCTCCTCCTACTGATATTTTTTGACCCATGTGAGCGTAATTGCTTACATGCTAGTCCTCCGCTCAGCAAGCTCCGGTCTGCCTCATGTCCCCCGCCTCGCTTGCCCCACTATTGCTAAGCGGGCCTCTGCCACTCCACCCCACCCTCTGGAACTCCATCCCAGAGTCCCTCCACCTCGCCCCCTCCCTTGCCTCCTTCAAGACCCATCTCAAGACCCTCATTTTCGACCGTGCTTTTGATAACCCTGCTACCCCCTACCTGCCCTCCACCCCTCCCCGATCTCAACCCCCAGCTCGGGTTCAAAATTCTGACTGTCCAGCACCTTGGACATCCTCCCGACGTGAAAGGTGCTATAAAAATGTCATTTGGTTGTTGTTGTTTAGTGTTTATCGATGAAAGTCTTATTTCATTACATTTTTAAGTCAGCTTATTCTCAATTGTACCAAAATGCCTTTAGGTCTAATGTTGATTTTAATGCATTATTGATTGTCTCTCCAACCATTGCAATGCCTTTCATATAACTGAAACTGTTATTTGTAGATAATATATCCAGCAAACGTCCTCTTGCTATCAAATCAACAGTAGTCATCATGAATCAGCAGCAGAGAAAAATACACTGATTTAAACTTGCTTTAGGAGTATTACTCAACAGTAAATTAATTCAATTTTATCACCATTTTTCTCTTCTCTCTTCTTTTCTCTCCCTTTGTCTCACACTGTCTCTTTCGCTGATACTCCCTCCTCTAATTTTCAGGCCCTGTGTGTGTGTGTGTATCTGTTTTTGTCTCTGATTCTGTCTCCCCTCTCATTCTGTCTTCTCTTTCTGTCCTATATTCAAAATTATGCTACACACAAATACAGTCACTCCATTTCACATAAAATCCTATGAAGCACTTTGGGACGTTCTTCCAATGCGATAAGGTGCTATACTAAATGTATGGATTATTACTATTATTTTTTATTAGTACTGTTGCAGTGTAGTGTAATTGCTTTCAGACATCATTCCTATCTGAAAAGCTTTATATAAATGTAAATTGTATTGTACAGGAGGGGCGCCAATACTAAAAAAAAGCTATGTTTTCACGTTACTCTCAAATGGTAATAATCTCCATTGAGATAATCTCCAATTATCAAATTTCTTAAACATCAAGTACGCTGAAGAGTGCATTTGAAATTTCAGGACATTTGATGTTTTACAAATAAATTAATCACACATTTCTTATTCCGAAATCCGTTAAGATGTACTGCATGTAAAGGTCAGCATCGAACGTTCTCCATTGCCTGTTTTCTTAACTCGGTCCTTTAGATGTGGCCTAAATTATATATTGAGAGAAACACTCCGTCTCGCGCAAGTATGACATTTCTATTTCTTACACAAGCTAAACTCGTCATGTTGCTGAGAAATTGTCAATTTAATATCAACCAGTTTTAAGTCCTGAGCAGTTTCATGCTGTAAACTCATATCCACGAGGGGTGATTTTACTGCCATAACTCATTTCACTTGAAGCCTTTTCAGATGAAAGAAGTAATTTACATCACACAAACATGAAGAACTGGAACCAAATTAAATCCCAAGGATGAAAGACCATCCAAATCACCAAACTCAAATTAGGATCCACACTTTAAGAAATCAGGACTTGCATTCATTTTAGTATTTCTATGCATTTTATTTTGCACATTTTAAGTCATTTAACATACACAGGGGTTTATCTTGAAATACAACTGGTGGATTTTTCTAATGTACAGTATTCCTGCTTCCAAACTACAACAACAAGATTTCATTTATAGAGCGCCTTTCACATCGGGAGGACGACCCAAGGCGCTGGACAGTTGGGTCGGGACCCGAGCAGGGAGGAAATGGTCAGGGTGAGGGGAGGGAGCGAGGAAGGGGTAGAGAGTCGAGAGGGAAGCTGAAGGCACGGTCGAAGAGAAAGGTCTCGAGACCGGCCTTGAAGGAGGAAAGGGAGGAAGCAAGGTGAAGACACTGGGGGATGGAGTTCCAGAGCCTAGGGGCTGAGAGGCTGAAGGCCCGGCCACCAATAGTAGGGCGGTTGGGGCGGGGGATGTGGAGCAGACCGGAGCCAGAGGAACGGAGGGTACAGGCAGGTAAGTAGGGGGATAGTAGGTCGGAGAGGTAGGAGGGAGCAAGGCCGTGAAATTAACCATCCAATCTCTAATTCTCTCTTCCACACTTTCCTACGAGGTAAATCAAATCAAACCCACCAAGTCTCATCTAGGTGTCTTCAAAATTATGTATACTGTACTATATATGAAATCCACTGCCACAGACCTTCAATTGTATGTACCTATAGTTCAGAGAAACTGTAATTGAATTGATCTTGCTAATCTCTTGATTCATTGCCTTCAAAAATCTTTGAAGTTTACAAAAAAATCTGTGTTCCCCCCCACCCCTTCCTCATCCTGCATTGATGATTGCCCTATTTACAACAGTGTTTAAGGAAATCCAAATCAAACCACACTGTTTTGTGCGCTTTAATATATTGCAGAAGGAGCGATAAACTTCTACATTTATTTATTTGTCCTATCAAGGTTCGGAGACTGTAGCTGGACTAATAATAATAATCCTTGCATTTGCTATAGTGCCTTATCATGTCTTTGAGGTGTCTCAAAGCACTTCACAGAATATACTGTAAAGTGAATTGATTGTATATCTTGTGGGCAAAATGCGGCAGTCAATCGCCGCATAGCAGTGTCTCATAAATAGTCGTTGTAGATTGAGTGACCAAATTCTTTTTAAAGGATTATTACCCCCGGAAAAGCAATCCGCCAATCGACTAACACCGATTGTTAGGTAAACAGAAGCGTGTGGAACTTGCCCAACATTTCGCCCTGCCCGGGAATCGAAGCCAGTTCCTCTCACTTGCGAGGCGAGTGCTCTAACAACTGAGCTACAGTACTCCGCAAAGCTTACCTCTCTGAACTGCTTCTGGATATTTGCATTTTTATGGGTGTTCGCACCTAAAACCACTCAGTAATTATTGACTTAAATTCCAATGTTTCTTACCAGATTCTAACCACTGAGCTACAGGATACTGAGATACAGAATAACATTACGTAAATCTTCCCTACCCAGAAGATGGTGCTATTTCTCCTGCTTTGTAACTATCAAACTCAGACCAATTTCAAAATAAATCAGCCCGTTTATCAAGAAATTGCCTTCCCCTTAAACCACGTAAATGCATCACTGACAGCGAGCAAGTAAGTACATGTTTGAGAATAGCAGATGCTGAGCCAGTACCTGGACACTATGTTTGTGCAGAAGCTCGCAGAACTATTTTTTTTTTGACTTACTGAAAGCAATACTTTGATTACTTTGTGGAGTCCTGTAGCTCAGTGGTTAGAGCACTCGCTTTGCAAGTGAGAGACCTGAGTTCAATTCCAGGCAGAGGGCGAAACCTTGGGCAAGTTTCCTTACTCCACACAGAGCCTAATAATAATCCCTCCAACACCAAAAACAATAATAAAATTAGTCATTTTCAATCTACGACTGTTTGTGGGACACTGCTGTGCGCAATTGGCTGCCGCGTTCGCCCACAAATATACAGTCAGTTCACTTTACAGTGTGTTCTGCGAAGCGCTTTGGGACGTCCTCCCGACGTGAAAAGCGCTATATCAAATGCAAGGATTATTATTATTATTATTATTATTATTATTATTATAACGTCTCGAATGAGGGCACTTTAATCTTTTCAAACGGATCAATGTGGTGCTTCGTTTGCGTGTGCATCGGTGCTGTGAGCAAACTGACTGAACACTGAAGCCGAGCGGACCAGCAATGCACTGTGAAATAAATGGGCATGTGGTTGGTTTACTTACGAGGAATAGTGCCCAGAGAGCGGGGGACAGGCTCCTTCTTTATACCCCGTGTCCATCATCAGATAACCTTCCCTTTCATTGCTTGGAGCTGGACTTGAGGTGGTGGCTGAATGATTTCCAGCCCTCGGTATCCTCCTCTCGCACATCTCTGCGGCTTCTCCCAGTGTCCACGCAGAGCATTGCCAACACCCCGCAGATGAATCCTTTCCCCCTCTCCCAGTGTCGGGCGCTATCTCCCAACACAGCTTTTATATAAAGTGCAAAGTGACGCTTCAGGATGCGTCAGATTTTAAAAGTCCACCGAGGGGGGTAGAAAGCTGTGGATCGCATCTCTTTCTTTCGGGCCAACAACTGAGCTGTCGCATTAAACAGCGAGTCACTTACTGTCCAGCCTCCGACCAGGAGTTACCTGCAGACAGCATCTCCCTGGTCAGATCTCTCCACAGGATCCCTGCTCTCTGCATTGCAAACAGGGCACTGAAGCATCACTCGCTCACTCACTCACTCACTCACTCAGTCACTCACTCACTGGTGGTCGCACTCACCGCACAAACTCATCTTACCATTTCATTTGAAATCAAATCCAATAGGGATCACAATTGCTTCCGTGAAAGATCGAGGCGTTTTTGTACAATGGCACAATTATAAAAGCAATGTTAACATTTTTTCTATTCAAATGGGAGCTGCTCAGTGCAGACCGAGAGGGGAAAAGGCAGTCAAGATTCTCACACCTTATAGCTGTCCAGTGACCTGCTGCTGGAGCTGAATGTGTTGATGTTGGGCGATTGGTAACACCTTTGTGAGAATGTGGAATTCACTGCCCAGGGGCCCTGGAGTGCCTCATGGTCTCAATCTCAAGACCTTCGCTTTAAAATTGTGTAGAATTTTTGCATTTTTTGGGATTCAAGCTTTTTAACACCTGTGGAAAACCAGCTCCCAAATTAATAGTCAATTGATGGATTTAACAAACTTTTGCAGTTACATTTTACAACCAATGGTCTTAAGGTGGTACTTAAAATGTACAGAATTTTGGAAAATTCTTTTCCAAATTCGGTCTTTTTGATAACTGCGTAAAACCAACTTCCAAAATGAACACTAACTAGAACAAACTAAAACTATAGACCTGGAATAGCCATGCACACACCAACCTGTCCTGTGTCCTGCACTTTCATTTTGACACAGTTTTGATGCTAGACAACATAGGAGAAGGTTTGGCTGTGGCTGGGATTGAGCGTCTCTAGATCTCAAATGTGGGGAGCTCCTGAGTGAAGGACAGATGATTTAATGAGGAACAAATATGGTGAAAAGAATTGTATAAAGGGCAACAGAGGACAATGATAAGAAAAATGATTACACATATATTTTATGATTAACTGTTTTAGTGCTACAATCAGTGTCCACCAGATAAACCGCATGTAGTGATGCCTGGCAAACTTGACAGTGATAGCTGTGCAGTTCAGGATTTGTCAATGTGCTGATGGAAGTTATTCTACATGTGCTCAGCCTTCTAATGGCCAAAAGGTGCACAAGGGGCGTTGGATGTTTCAATCAGCTCACAAGTTGATCTCAATTAATCCATTATTTGGTAGGCACATTTGGCATCAGCAATGCAAAATAAAACAGTTCAATGCCAAGAATCGAAATGCCAATAAAAAAATAGAACTTAGCAAAAATTATCAGTAATATCAAGGAATTTACTGCTACAATTTATAATGTTGTTCAAACGTCTTGACTATGGTAGTGTTGAAGTGTACTCCGCTACTCTCTATATAATGTATATTTTTTTTTCTCAAGTATTCAGTACCCAAAGAACAGGGCTAGAAAATGGGTGTTATGGAGATCCTAAACATACAGAGGGTGGTGTGGAATGTCTCTTGTGGCATGATAATTAGTACCTTTGTTAATTTTCACCAAGGTGAAAAATCCTGCAATTAATGCAGATTTGGTAATTGTTCAATAAACATGTTTTTGAATATATTAAAATTGGTCATTCATTTCATGGCTCTTTTAGAACATTGTGTGCAAATGCATAATCACTGCACTTTACAGTGTATCTTGTGAATCACTTTGAGACATGGGAGGAACCAACTATATTCCAAATGTAAGTATGATTATTATTATTGTTGTGAAAAACTCTTGAATCTGAGTCAGAAGGTTGTGGGTTCAAGCCCCACCTGGTCTAGATATTTCAATGTAGTACAGTTGGTGCACTATAACTGTAGTGATTATGATAAATCATAATCAGAGTCCTGTAGCTCAGTGATTAGAGTACTCGCCTAGCAAGTGAGAGACCTGGGTTTGTTTCCTGGGAGTGCAAAATGTTGGGCACGTTTCCTTACACCTCATACCTAGCAGTAAGTAGGAAGTAGGACAATAAGTAGGAACCTGGTTGTTAGTCAATTGGCAGATTACTTTTCCAGGAGTAATGATTCCTTCAAAAAAATTGGTCACTTCAGTCCATTGTGGGACACTGCTGTGCGAAATTGGCTGCTGAGTTTCGCCCACAAAATATAGTCAATTAACTTTACGGTATATTCTGTGAAGCGCTTTGAGACGTCTCGAAGACGTGATAAAGCGCTGTATCAAATACAAGGATTATTATTAAACTGAGGTCCTGTCTGCTTGTTCAGGTAAATGTTCAAGAGTGGAGTTTCTCCCTGTGTCAAGGGCAACAATCTCCCAAATAAAATTGGTCATTCACTGCATGGCTCTTTTTGGGATACTACTGTACACAAATTGGTTGCCATATTTGCCTACAAAATAATAATAATTGTTGGAATTGGTCCTTTTATGTCAGCACTTCACAGGTGCAGTCTCTGCAGCAGTCAATTTGCCGCAATCAAATGTTCATCTCTGAGATAGGAGCAGCAACGGAATGTGGTTTCCTCAGATCTGAACCACTTTGCCTTTCATCTCTGTCTAACAGTCTGAAAGGTGGGGTTCTGGACTGCTTGGGTGGGAAGAAGGGTGGGTATGGCATGCTTGCCTCAGCCCTGGGTTTAATACGTTTTATAGAAGTATTGTGTAGAAAGGGATGAAAATAAGCAGCATTTCATGAAAGATTTGCGATGCATTGATTATCACGTTAAATCTGTTATGAACTACTTTACATTTTTCCCACATATTAAAAATAATAATTATCCTTGCATTTGATACAGAGTCGTATTACATCATTGTAAAGCGAATTAACTCTATATTTTGTGGGGGAACATGGCAGCCAAATTGCGCACAGCAGTGTCCCACAAACAGTCGTGGATTGAGTAACCAAATTATTTTGTGGGCTGGGGGGGGGTGGGGAATTAATATTGTGGAGTTTTGCATTATTGTAATGATGGCTCCCTATCGCCCAACAACAAACTTTCAGGATCTGGCAGTATCCCTGAGGAAAATCAAATGGACTGCGGAAAAGCCCCTGGTCAGATAGATTGCACATGGTCTGTAGAAAAAGAAAATAGGTCAAATTTTTTTTGCTCCATACTTTACATTGTTATGTAAAACACCAAATGTTTGACAGCATTTGAAAGTATGTCAAGCTGTAACATTGTACAGTAGATAAAACTAAGACAACAATCCCCAAATATAATTGCTTACTCACTTTATAGCTGTTTGTGGGGCATTGCTGCATGCAAATTTGCTGCCGAGTTCACCCACAAACACAAATCGCTAAACTTCACAGTAAAAATCTTTTGGGACGTCTCCATGTCATAAGGTGCTATATGACATGCAAATATTATTATTAATAATGTGAGACATATTTCTGTTTAACAAGTTATAGTAATTGTTTTGATTTTTGGGGGTGGGGGAGAAGAATTAATTCACCAATAATTTTAACATTTACGGTCACAGAATCATCATCTTAGCATTTTAACATCATTGAAACCAGTCTGTAAATGCAACCGTCCCAATCAAATGCATGTTGCTTTGGTTAAAAGCAGTTCTGTTTATGATCAGGTATGAGACAATTTAAAATTGGTCACAGGTCAGAGGGTATAAGATCTCGAAACTCAAAACAAAACGTATCAAATAAGCCAGCCAGCATTATGATACTGCAAAGTATTGGCGTTTGGATGGAAAAGTCCAGAAACTAGTGAAAAGCACATTGGTCACAGTATTGCACCTCGTATAAATATGGCTGCCGAGACCTTGCTAGGATTTATTAATAGCAATAAAAGTGGATTTGTGAAAAGCAAGTACAGGACATGCATAATGGCTCATACTTTTTTTTATTTTCCACAGTTTGACAGAACGTATTTTGTCAGCTGCAGCAGTGTCCCAAATGCTGATGAAATCGTTAATAGTTCCTTTCTAATCATAGAACCATAGCGACAGTCCAGTAGACTCCCTGGGCACCTTTAAACTTCAAACCTTTCTAAGTTGTGCTTGCTCTATTTGCAGTTCTGTTGCAGAGGGAGTGACTGTAATAGTGTGAGACTCGGCAACTGTGACAAATTGCTACGTGCTCAGTTAGCTGGATATAAAGTGCACTTATGCTGCACATTCTGCATCAGTGCGATGACAAAACCATATTGAATGGAAATCAGATTTACAATAAAACTGGACTTTAAATTATTTTCACTCCCCAGATCTAACCTTTCCCTTTCACCTCTGCGAACCATTATAATACAATAATAATCCTTGCATTTGATATAGCGCTTTTCACGTCTTCTATTCATTCTCAAAGCGCTTCACAGAATATACTGTAAAGTGAATTAACTGTATATTTGTGGGCAAAACTTGGCAGCCAATTACACATAGCAGTCGTGGATTGAAATGACAAATTTATTGGGTTTTTTTCTTGAGGGATTATTATCAGGCATGTGAAGGAAGAAAACTTGCCCAAGGTTTCGACCTGCTGGGAATCGAATCCAGATTTCTCGCTTGCAAGGCGAGTACTCTAACCACTGAATTACAGGACTCCTCAACCATTACTAACCAAAGGTCATGCTGTAAATGACATAAATGAAATGCTGGTGTAGTAGCTATGTGCTTCAGTACTTCTGCATAGCTCAAGGTCCTCTCCTGCACCAAGCTCTGCAAGCCCATCATCACTATCCTCGTTCACTCTATGGGTCTTCATCCCCCAGTGGATTGAAATCAAGATTCTAACCTTATTTTCAAATGCCTTCATTGCTTTGTCCCACCATACTTTGTGTCCTCCTGTGTGAAGATATAACATGACTGTGTTTATTGTATCCTCTAGAAAATGGAGAGAACTGCC